ACTGACGCCATATAGACATCGCTAAATACATTAACTATGGTTATAATAATTTTAAATAAAATAAGAGATTGGAGCTTTTATTATAATAACCAAAAGTTTACTAACAATATGTCGTACGTGTTTAGTAAAATTACGAATATAAAATCAAATGAATATTACTGAAAAATGCATTAGTTTATTTATCGTTGTTTCTTGTGGAATCCCAAGAGACTTCTTGTGGAACTCATGTGAAATCGTTCATGAAATCTATATTTCTGACTACTTTTACATTATCTGTCTATATTTCTTTCGAGATGATATTTCTGAGATGATGTATTATGTACACTATTTACATTATTCGGACTATTGTTCTCATCTTTGTCGCCATATTTATTACAACGTTTCTGCCCTTCACTATGTGTCTATATTTCTGAGATGAGGTATTATGTACACTATTTACATTATTTGGACTATTGTCCTCATCTTTGTTGCCATATTTTTTACAACGTTTCAGCCGTTATACGCTCCGGCCTTCTTCAGGTTGTTGGAATGTCGAACTGAACCCTTATTTTCGCACGCTGGGGTAGACTTCTAGTTCCATGTTCCATGTCTAATGAATGTCAGTTATCAGTTATCTCCTGTTAATTCCCCTCTCCAAGTTCTCCACCACCTTAACCAGGTATTGAACTCATGCTCTTTTGGGTCCTTGGCATTAGTGACAGTTTGCGTTCCGTTTTCATTGTATCCTTTTTTAGTTTGCTGTAGCTACCATTTCTAATGAGGTCTTCCAGCTTTCTTGTATAATCTAATTTGTCCATCACTACAGTTGCATTGCCTTTGTCAGCCGGTAGTATAATGATGTTTTCGTTCCTCTTAAGGTTAGGCTTATAACAATATGTCGTACATGTTTAGTAAAATTATGAATATAAAATCAAACAAAAATTACTCAAAAATGCATTAGCCTATTTCTCGTTGTTTCTCGCTATTTCTCGCGAAACCTAAAGGGACCTCTTGCAGAGCCCTAGGGAACACCAGTTGAGAAGCATTGTTCTAAGCTCTTGTTTTTTTTTATTTTTTTCGCCATGGAATATCAAAATGCTGTTCGGGGAAAGGTTTCAAGTTGTTATTTTGTTCCCGAGTCTTCGAAAAATTCTTCAAATTTATCGTGAAAATTCACTGTGGAAGATTTGAAAATTTGCTAGGAAGTTATATACACTCTTAAACAATTTTCTGGGCGTCTTTAGCAATGGATTGCATATATAAGCTCCAGAATCCAGTGGATAAAGACGTTGGTGAGATCCAGTGACTAGACCCAAAAGAGTTGTGATTTCAGTACCAACCCAGAGCAGTGGTGAACTTGTGAGCGAAATAAAGGTTAGGTTTGAAATACCAATCACATGAACAAGGCTGGAGAGTACAACGGCCGAAATGTTGTGAATGTGGCAATGAAGATGAAGATAATAGTCCGAATAATGTAAATAATGCAAGTAATCATAATACCTCATCTCAGAGATCCAATCAACTGAAGGAGGCCGGAGCGTATAACGGCCGAAACGTTGTGAATATGGTAATAAAGATGAGAATAACAGTCTGAATTATGTAAATAATGCAAGTAATCATAATACCTCATCTCAGAGATATAGACAGAGTTAAAGACAGAGAAATATCACATAAAGGCCGGAGCGTACAACGGGCGAAACGTTACGAATATGGCAATGAATGTGAGGATAACAGTCCGAATAATGTAAATAATGCAAGTAATCATAATACCTCATCTCAGAGACGTAGAGGCCGAAACGTTGTGATTATGGCAACGAAGATGAGGATAACAGTCCCAATAATGTAAATAATGCAAGTAATCATAATACCTCATCTCAGAGACGTAGAGGCCGAAACGTTGTGATTATGGCAACGAAGATGAGGATAACAGTCCCAATAATGTAAATAATGCAATAATCATAATACCTCATCTCAGAGACGTAGAGGCCGAAACATTGTGATTATGGCAACGAAGATGAGGATAACAGTCCCAATAATGTAAATAATGCAAGTAATCATAATACCTCATCTCAGAGACGTAGAGGCCGAAACGTTGTGATTATGGCAACGAAGATGAGGATAACAGTCCCAATAATGTAAATAATGCAAGTAATCATAATACCTCATCTCAGAGACGTAGAGGCCGAAACGTTGTGATTATGGCAACGAAGATGAGGATAACAGTCCCAATAATGTAAATAAATAGTGCAAGTAATCATAATACCTCATCTCAGAGACGTAGAGGCCGAAACATTGTGATTATGGCAACGAAGATGAGGATAACAGTCCCAATAATGTAAATAATGCAAGTAATCATAATACCTCATCTCAGAGACGTAGAGGCCGAAACGTTGTGATTATGGCAACGAAGATGAGGATAACAGTCCCAATAATGTAAATAATGCAAGTAATCATAATACCTCATCTCAGAGACGTAGAGGCCGAAACGTTGTGATTATGGCAACGAAGATGAGGATAACAGTCCCAATAATGTAAATAATGCAAGTAATCATAATACCTCATCTCAGTTATACAGACGAATATGAACTCCACTTGAAATTTAGTTTGAAACTGTGGGTCAAAAATTCCCAGTCTAAGCTCTGGATTATTCTATCATCCTTTCCAAGTAGATCGTGTTTTCCTAGTAGTTCAAATAGATCCTTGCGCTGTAATAATACTATCACTCATTTCAGAAAGAGGAGACTGACAGAGGAGACGGAAGACTTTATCGTCTAAAATTTCTGTGCCAACCCGGTGTAACTATACCACTGTTTAAGAACCGAAGCTTTAATATCTAGTTTCCGTTACACCTTTTACGGCGTTATTAATTGCACGTTTCAAAAGAACATGTAGCGCCAGGTCGCGTTGAAATTTTGGAAATATTTGCTATATTTAAGGACATCTTACATATACAGGAATAGAGGATCAGTAAGTCAGTACCCTGACATATCTAAGTTAATTTGGATCCGAAATTTTTACTGTTACCCGATCTACGTCATTAACTCAGAAATGATCGATTAAGTGCATTGACAAGGAAGGAGATCTTGTTCAGAAATAACTACGTGCTTTGCGAAATAAATACGTTTTTCTCACTAAGCTGCAAACTTATTGCTGAAACTATCTATAAATAAACACACACACACACACACACACACACACACATATATATATATATATATATATATATATATATATATATATTGATACACACATAGGCCTAGGTATTGATAACCATACTTGCACAAACACACACACACTTATATATATATTTTTCCAAACGCTCGCGCGTACTCACACACACAATACACACACACACACACACACACACACACACACACACATATATATATATATATATATATATATATATATATATATATATATATATATATATGCCGGATTTTCTTTCTCTTTCAGCCTGAATCTGTAGTTTAAAGTTCCTTATGTCAGTTAGTAAATGAATAATTAAGCCGGGCTTAAGCCATAATTTGTTCTGTGAACCGTAAACTTTATTGGCATCATGTCTGACGCACCCTGCCTGCCTTTCGGATCAAGTCGTGTTTTTAGATCTCAACCCCCTACCCTCGAAGTAATACCAAAACCCCATACCACCCACCTACTTGTAAACGACATAAACGCATACACACACACACACACACACACAAACACACGCACGCGTACTCTCGCTCACTACCCATTCTATCTTTCTTTTATAAACACGTACACACATATGGGTACATTTGAAGCCGTCACATTCCAGGCCTAATTGTTTTAATTCTATTGTTTATACTCAGTGTTGTAAGCTGTTGATCTGTGTGTAATCTGTGAGGACCAAACACTTTTTTTACCGTGAGTGCATTGTGTCATGAGCAGTCGTCTTCGCTGTCTGGTTTTATAGACAGGTGTCTCGTGGAGTAGAGGCTGGCAAGCCTGTCTCAAATTGTGAGCTTGCCTTCTTCTCACAGGTTACAGACACCTGAGTCCTTGTGCCAGACGATGCTAGACTGAATGCATAACAAAAGAAATACCTTGTCGTGAAGCCCTGTATCGGAAGATTATATTGTCGGACATTCATGCCATCTTGAGTTCGATCCTCACTGAGTGACCGACATTTTTAGCCCAAGGTCAAAGCTTGCTTTTATTGTTTCGCATTACTGAACGGAAGTAGAATTAAGTGTTCGAATCGTAAGAAGAGGATTTCGAATGATGATTTTCAAGGCAGGTAAACGCTCTTCTTATAGCGCAGTATATTCACTTTAACCCAGTACTGTCTCAATTTTTGCTTCATGCAAGGAAGATCGTACAGCGCCGGTCTTTCAGTTAAATGCGTGTTTGTTCAAAATATTATACAGGTTTCATTACAAAAAAAGACTTAAAATTCTAGAAGCCATTATAATAAAAATTAATACGAAATGGAATATCTGTACAGAAGATGATATACTGAAGTGTGTAAATCAATGATTCCCAACATGGGGCGCATGCCCCACCGGTGGGGCATGGTAATATTTTGGTGGGTCATGCTTACTATACCAACAGAATATTGGGGCAATTCGAGAATGAGTTATTAACAGTGAATTTTTTTTTCTCGCGAGTCTGAGTAAGGTGTTTATTTTAATGTGTTTTAATACATATGATGCATATACATTATGCATACAGGAAAATATTTTGTATGTACGTACATGTGCAATTGGTATACATGTAAGAATTAAATATTACAACGGTGGGGGGGGGCACCATAATTTTTAAGATACCAAAATTAGGCAAGACACAAAATCGGTTGGAAGCCACTGGTGTAGAAGATATTTAATACGCCTATAGGCCTACGACCACATTACGTTGAAACATTGGTTCCTGTATGATCACCCAATGCCAGGTCAGTACCTATAATATTGCAGTTCCTTCGTTGTATTATAACTGGAAGTTATGGAGAGCTATGATTGACAACGTCCTAAAAAATATAATACATAGAGTTTTAATTCGAGACTGCAATATTCTTCTTCTTCTTCTTCTTCTTCCTTCTCCTCCTCATTCTTCCTCCTCCTTCTTATCTTCCTCCTCTTCCTTCTTATTCTTCCTCCTCCTCCTCCTCCTTATCCACCTCTTTCTTCTTCCTCTTCCTCACCCTCCTCCTACCTCTTCTTTTTCTTCCTACTCCTCCTTTAACCCCCTCTTCCTCCTTCTTCTTCCTTCTCCTCCTCCCTCTTCTTATTCTCTTTCTTCCTCCTCCTCCTTCCTCCTCCTTCCTCCTCCTCCTCCTCCTTCTTCTTCTTCTTTCATCTTCTTTTTCCTCTTTCATCTTGAAATTTTCTGTTTGTTGATGAGTTAGTAAGATTAATTAACAGACATTAAGAAGACGGAAGAAAACGATTTGCAGGGCATTTACATTTTTGAAGAAAATTTTTTTTGTTTCAAAGTTGATTGGGAAGCATGCAACCTGAAGAGAGTTCCACAAGCAAGAAGTGCGAGAGAAGAAGCATAGAAGTTACAGTTAAATCTCGCCATTTCAACTGAAAAAGCTTACGGTCATATTAAGTTGAAACATAGTTTCACTTACGATCACCGAAGTTAACCAAAGTCGAGCCTGGTCAGTACCTAGGTGGGTGACCGCTTGGGAATACGAGGTGATGTAACCTTGGATGTGTGGGTGGTGTAATTGATAATGGCTCGGAATTGTTAATCCGTGAGCCGTGTTCCAATTCCTGTAGTTTTCGTTATATTCATTTACGCGCAGATAGCCTTGGGGAAGATATGAATGCGCCAATTCTCCCGCCAACTATAACCGAAGCTAAGCATCCGGTGTTGCAACCTTGGATGTGCGGGTGGTCTAATTGAAAACGATTCGAAATTGATAATCAGAGGACCGAGTTCCAGCAGTGGATTAATTAGTAAGATTGTATCGTTAAATCATTATTATTTTTTTTTTAATCTTAAAATCTAAAAAATATTTTCTGGCTTTAAATAACCTGTAAAGTGTTAATAAGCTGTAGAAAACGAATGAAACTTTAAAATGACGAGACCTTACCGCCAATCCAGTACTGCGCTTAAATTCGTAATATCTAGATATCATATAGGAAAACGCATGAGAAAAATTACCAGGAAAAACGTAAAAGGCTCAGGGAAGCCTAGTTACGTGGGAGCTGAAGTGGCAGACACTGAGATGCCAGACCAGGACCAATAATATAGCAGATTCTTCTTTGTATTATAGCTACTAGTTATAATTAAAAAGACTGGAAGTTCTAAAGAGCCATGTTCGCCAACGTCCTAAAAGAACATAGGAGAAAGAGGATTAATTAGACAGTAAGAGATTATTGCATTCTTGCTTGCTTCTTTTTATGTGCCATGTCCTTTCAGGACGTAGGCGATCATGGCTCTCCACCTTTCCTCTATCCCTTGCAACTCTCAACAAGTTCCTTCCCTCTGCTTCCTCCCCCAGACCACGTTCTGTCATCCACTTGCTTAAGCTCGACAGGTATGTCATGTGCTGCTTTCCCTTGTCTCTCTTTCCCTCTGTTCGACCTGTGAGTATCAGATTCTCCAAGCCCTCCTTCCTTATTATGCGTCCCAGAATCTTCAGCTGCCTCTTTCTGATATTAAGTATAAGCCTCCACCTTGTTTGCAACCTCTCCAAGATCTCATCGTTGTTCACACGCTCGATCCATGATATCCTTAGCATCCTTCTGTAGTACCACATCTTCTTTCCCCCTATTCGACTCGTGAGTATCAGATTCTCCAGGCCCTTCATCCTTATTATTATGTGTCCCAGAAACTTCAGCTGCCTTTTCCTGATATTAAGTATAAACCTCCTTCTTTGCAGCCTCTCTAAGATCTCATCGTTGCTCGCCCCATGATATCCTTAGCATCCTTCTGTAGAACCATATCTCCGTCGCCTCGCGTCTCTTCTTTGAGGAAATCGTCCAACATACGATGCCGTAAAGAAGGACAAATGTCACGTAACTGCTCAGTATTCCCAATACCCTGCCCAGCGTTTGGAATGTATCCTTGGCCATCCCAATACGTCTAAAGATCTCAGTGTCGCACTTACCGTCCTCTGTCGTATACGTCTCGCTGCCGTAAAGAAGGACCGATGTCACGTAACACCTCAGTATTCTTTTCTTTGCTACTAATATTTAAATAATTATAGCATGATCCTCAGGCTGGTGCATTTTAAAGTACTTTTTATGACTTACTTTCACTGTGTTTAAATCTACAATAATTCTTCTTCTTCTTCTTCTTCTTCTTCTTCTTCTTCTTCTTCTTCTTCTTCTTCTTCTTCATGGTTTTAAAAGCGAACATTTAAAAGTATCTATCCAGATAATATATAAGAATATACTAAAACTAAGATGGAGAAATGATCATAATAATAAAAAATATATACTCACCGTTAAGTATTAGTCCGAAAAACAAAATATGAAAAAAAAAAAAAATACAATACAATAGCTAATTGGTAAATACTCCTCGCTCTTCTAAGATCAGTCGAAGACAAAACATATTTCTCCTTTGCAAAATAACTCTTGCTCCTATCATTTCTCGTGCTTAGGCTCATATTGCGTTGAAATATCGGTTCTTGTCCGATCACTGAAGTTAAGCAACATCGAGCCTGGTCAGTTCCTAGATGTATGATAGCTTGGGGAATCCAGGTGTTGTAAACTTGTTTGTTCGTTCTCCTCTTTCTTTCTTTCACGTTTTCACTTTTCTTTCTTTCTTTCTACCTTACTCCTTTTCACTTCTTTCGTTTTCTTTCTTTCTTTCTTTCTTTCTTTCTTTCTTTCTTTCTTTCTTTCTACCTTACTCCTTTTCACTTCTTTTCTTTTCTTTCTTTCTTTCTTTCTTTCTTTCTTTCTACCTTACTCCTTTTCACTTCTTTCGTTTTCTTTCTTTCTTTCTTTCTTTCTTTCTTTCTTTCTCCTTTTCACTTCTTTTGTTTTCTTTCTTTCTTTCTTTCTTTCTTTCTTTCTTTCTACCTTACTCCTTTTCACTTTTCTTTCTTTCTTTCTTTCTTTCTTTCTTTCTTTCTTTCTTTCTTTCTTTCTACCTTACTCCTTTTCACTTTTCTTTCTTTCTTTCTTTCTTTCTTTCTTTCTTTCTTTCTTTCTGTTTCATTTTCACTCTTTTCTTTCTTTCTATTTTCCTACCGTAAACATTTTCGCTTCTTTCTACCTTAGTTTTTTACTTTCTTTCTTTCATTCTTTCTTTCTTTCTTTCTTTCTTTCTTCAATCCCCCTCTCTTTACTGAATACAAACCCGTTCTCACTTCTCCCACTCACACACGCTCTCGTTCACGTTCATTTTCTCTTCCACTTTTTAAAAAGCCTCTTTCTCCGACTGTGTTATTTAATTTGTTTTCTCTTTCTTTGTGTGTTTGTTAGTTTATCTATGACAAGATTTGCTTCCTGCCACCACACGATATCGACAACCATTATGAGATTTACTTTCTATCTGCAATAACAATCTCATTCCACCACATTTGATCTTTATTTCTTTTTTTCTTTCTTTCTTTCTTTCTTTCTTTCTTTCTTTCTTTCTTTCTTACTCTTTTTCACTTCTTTCGTTCTCCTTTTCACGTATTTCTTTCTCTCTTTTTCTTTCTTTCTCCTTTCGACTACTTTCTTTCTTTCAAACTTACTATTTTTCACTTCTTTCTCCTTTTGACTTCTCTCTTTCTTTCCTTCTTTCCTTCTTTCTTTCTTTCTACTATAATCATTTTCGCTTCTTTCTTTCAACATTAATCGTTTTCTTTCTTTCTTTCTTTCTTTCTTTCCACCTTAATTTTTACTTTCTTTCTACCTTACTTCTTTTCAATTTTCTTTCTTTCTTTCTTTCTTTCTTTCTTTCTTTCCAACTTAATTTTTACTTTCTTTCTACCTTACTTCTTTTCAATTTTCTTTCTTTCTTTCTTTCTTTCTTTCTTTCTTTCTTTCCACCTTAATTTTTACTTTCTTTCTACCTTTCTTCTTTTCAATTTTCATTCTTTCTTTCTTTCTTTCTTTCCAACTTAATTTTTACTTTCTTTCTACCTTACTTCTTTTCAATTTTCATTCTTTCTTTCTTTCTTTCTTTCTTTCTTTCTTTCTTTCTTTCTTTTGTTCATTTCTTTCGTCCTTTCTTTATTTCTGTTTTACTCATTTTCTCTTTTTTCTTTCTTTCAACCTTAATTTTACTTCCTTTCTTTCTTTCTTTCTTTCTTTCTTTCTTTCTTTCTTCCATTTTTTCCAAATTTTCCTTCTATACGCCCGATTATTTTCTTTCCTTTTCCCTCTCAAATATGTTCCTCTTCACCACCGTCTCCTCTTCGATAACTGCAAAGAGATTTACTCTCTTTCTCTCTCTCTCTATATATATATACTTTTTCTTTCTTTTCTCTCTCTCTCTCTCTCTCTTTCTCTCTCTCTATCTCTTTCTTTCCTTTTTTTTTTCTTTTTTTTTTTAGACGATCGAGACGAAATTACTTCACGGCGAGTTTCATCATTACAAAAATGAAATTGACTGGAAAATGACCCATAAGAGACAAAAGGCAGGGACATTAAGTGAAGTGAAATGAGGCAGGACAAAATAAAATAAATGAGCTTCGATGGGCGGGTGGGTGTGGGGGTGGCGTAGACAAATACCAAAAAGAAACAGATTCTTGCTCTCTCATTATCAACTTCTCCTCTCTTCTATATCTCCCTAGCTCTCCCTCTCTCTGTCTATCCTTCTCTCTCTCTCTCGGTCTCTCTCGTTTTGTATTTCTCTTTCTCTCTCTCTAGCACTCTCTTCCTTTCTATCTATCTATCTCTCTTTCGCTGTACTAAAAATGATTTTGACACAGTTTCACTGTCTTATTGTCAAAATGCTAAACACTTTATCGCACCCCGATATATATATGTATATGTGTGTGTGTGTGTGTGTATTGCATAAAGTTAGAGGTCAATGAAGCTTACCTCTATCAGTTAAAAGAATATAGAAATCATTACACATTAATAAAGTTATGCCTGATCGTTAACCATTACCATATGGTGTGTGTTTCCTTCACTGTTTCTCTATCGCTATTTCGATCTCAATATTTCTCTCTCTCTCTCTCTCTCTCTCTCTATATATATATATATATATATATATATATATATATATATATATATCTTCCTCTTTCACTGTCCTAAAAATGCTAAACACTCTATCGCAAGCCTAAATATATATATATATATATATATATATATATATATATATATATATATATATAAGCCTAAATATATATATATATATATATGTGTGTGTGTGTGCGTGTGGTTAGAGGTCAATGAGGCTTATCTTTATCAATTAAAAGAAACTGAAATTAGTACACATTATAAGGTCTATGCTAGATCGCTAACCATTACACTACTCTACCTCTCTCTCTCCATAGCACTCTCTACTTTTCTCTCTCTCACTGTACTAAAAAATAATTTTGACACAGTTTCAATGTGACATTGTCAAAATGATAACTTTATTCTTTTCGCTTCTTTCTTTCTTTCATTGCCAGAATGATAAATATTCTCTAGCAACGACACATTATCACACACACACACACACAAACACACGCACACACACACATACATACATACATATATATATAGATACATATATATATATATATATATATATATACTAGCAGCATGGCCCGGCGTTGCCCGTGCCTGATTCAAAAATCGTACGACTCATACAGCAATCGCTATCACTTGACTTAAAATATTTTTGCCTTTCCTTGCCTTTAAAGGAGTGCCCTTTACCGTGCTGATGTTGCTACATGACTTACTTCTTGCCTATCTCATACTGCGAGTTTTTTGTAAGCTCTATACTAAACATTAAATCTGTTACGAAAAAAGTACTAAACAAAATGAATACAAAACGATCAGCTTTAAAGAAGGACTCGTAACTGGAAAAACCGAATGAAAAAAAAATGTTAACAACAAATACATTTTCACACCCAACCCAGTTCTGCGGAATTAGACTCAAAGTTGAGTTTAAGCAAGCGAATGAGCCAATTGGAGTAAAGTGCTATGCAGATTTAAAATTTTTCCCACTTATGACGAATGCAGCTATCGATTTTTTTTGCATTCTAGCATGCTAGTTAACATTCATGTCAGTCAGCTGTTGGCTCTCACGTTGGCCAATAGAATCTTCCTGCCTATTTGTGGCAGCCAGCTATAGGCTTTCAATCTGGCCAGTAGAAAGTGGCTGCAAACTACATGAAAACTGTCGTAGAAGCATGAAAAAATCAATTATTTCCACTATCGATGGGAGTTGGGAAATGCAAAGGCGGTCTTGGCCTTCCCGCTAACTTGGAGCATGTGCATGTAAATTTTGATGCAAATCCGTCGAAAATTGCGGCTGTGCATTCGTGACACACACACATCCCTGCCTATATATATATATATATATATATATATATATATATATATATATATATACATGATATGGGTATATAGTTAACAATTTATATTGTTAATTTTGCGCAGGCGAGATTTTTTGTTTTTGATTTTATCGACTGTACAGAATAGTAGAGTCAGTTGGGCACCGTCCATAAGAAAAAAAGATTACCATGACGGAATTTACTCCGCCAGAAATTTGGAAACGGCATGCTGTACTGCTTTGCATTCGCGCCTGAAGCTACAAATCAAATATTTCAGAGTATTGGGTGTCAATCTGAGGCCAGTGCAGAGGATTCGGACAGAATTGGATAAAGTGTCCAACAAGCTGGAGGACCCAGTCATGGCTGTCAGACAATTTCTGCGACGATATCACCGTTTACATCTGTCCACCTAACTCCACCACACTGCAACACTCTAGATTACTATCTGTGTGGCGCACTTGAGCGAGAGACCAACAAATTTCCTTGTAATGACAAAAATGAACTGTAGGCAAAAATTATGGCAGCATTCACCAACTTAAACAAGGAGGCCGTCCACAAGAGTTGCAGGAGATTCAGAAGTCGTTTGGAGGCCGTGGTTGAAGCCAATGGCGATTTTATGCAATGAATTTATTCTTTAGTTTTTTAAAATGTTTTGAGCAGTTTTGGTAAATATATCTGTTAAAATGAGATGTCAGTGTTATTATAAGTTTTATGCAATTTAGACGACACTTTATTCACATACACACATTATATATATATATATATATATATATATATATATATATATATATATATATATATATATGTGTGTGTGTATGACAATGAGAGATAAAGTGTTTAATAAGTCTGTAAGGTTTTAACAGAGATAGATAGATAGATAGATAGATATGAATAGACTGTGATAGATAGATAGATAGATAGATAGATAGATAGATAGATAGATAGATAGATAGATAGATAGATCTCTAATCTCAATATCAATCGTGATATTTGAATAGACTGAGATAGATAGATAGATATGAATAGACTGTTATAGATAGATAGATAGATAGATAGATAGATAGATAGATAGATAGATAGATAGATAGATCTCTAATCTCAATATCAATCATGATATTTGAATAGACTGAGATAGATAGATAGATAGATAGATAGATAGATATGAATAGACTGTTATAGATAGATAGATAGATAGATAGGTAGATCTCTAATCTCAATATCAATCGTGATATTTGAATAGACTGAGATAGATAGATAGATAGATAGATAGATAGATAGATAAATAGATAGATAGATATGAATAGACTGTTATAGATAGATAGATAGATAGATAGATAGATAGATAGATAGATAGATCTCTAATCTCAATATCAATCGTGATATTTGAATAGACTGAGATAGATAGATAGATAGATAGATAGATAGATAGATAGAAAGAAAGAAAGAAAGAAAGAAAGAAAGACGCCATTATGCGTGTCTCTAATCGACCTAATCATACCGCTAGCAATAATATAATTATCTTTCAACAAGAAGAGAAAACGTCTGCCATCATATTTTTTACTCGTTGACATCATCCTTGTTTCAATTGGCCATTTTTTTTCACCGTCGGTATTTATTTGTTTTTTTATTTTCCGCTTGGATCAAAAGAGATCGCTACCTCGTCTGACATTCAACCTCCTCTTCTTTTAAACACATATCGAATCACCCCAAACTTATTCATGCAAAAGGCTTTAATTTACACCCACACATTGCTATGCAACATACATTCATTATCTATCTATCTATCTATCTATCTATCTATCTATCTATCTATCTATCTGATCATAACTATCTATCGATCTCTCTCTCTGATCATAACTATCTATCTATCTATCTCAATTAGTTCGTATCTATCTGCCTGTTTATATCTGTCTGTTCATATCTATCTATCTATCTATCTATCTATCTGATCATAACTATCTATCGATCTCTCTCTATCTGATCATAACTATCTATCTATCTATCTCAATTAGTTCGTATCTATCTGCCTGTTTATATCTGTCTGTTCATATCTATCTATCTGTCTATCTATCTGATCATAACTATCTATGGATCTCTCTCTATCTGATCATAACTATCTATCTCAATTAGTTCGTATCTATCTGCCTGTTTATATCTGTCTGTTCATATCTATCTATCTGTCTATCTATCTGATCATAACTATCTATGGATCTCTCTCTATCTGATCATAACTATCTATCTATCTATCTCAATTAGTTCGTATCTATCTGCCTGTTTATATCTGTCTGTTCATATCTATCTATCTATCTATCTACATGATCATAACTATCTATCTATCGATCTCTCTCTCTGTCTCACTCTATCTATCTATCTATCTATCTATCTATCTATCTATCTATCTATCTATCTGATCATAACTACCTATCTATCTATCTCCGTCTGTTCGTATCTATCTATCTATCTATCTATCTTTTCATCGACTTTCTCAGCAATTGATTTTTCTCTCTACTCATTCCCACCTCCTCCTCTTCCTCATCATCATCATCATCATCATCGTCATCCTCATCATCCTAATCATCATCAGCATCATCCACTGTTTATTTCCTGTTTGTTCGAACATCCTCCTTTGCATTTCTAACTTTGCATCCTCTCTTTCTCTTTATAATGTATTTCTCCTCACTATGTATTATATATCTTTCTTTGTTCTCTCTCTCTCTCTCTCTCTCTGCTCCTCTCTTGTTACCTTCAATGTCATTTTTCTTGCTTTATTTTTTTATCATTCCTCATCCTTTTCTCTTCCTTCTACTAATTACGTTCTCTCTCTCTCTCTCTCTCTCTCTCTCTCTCTCTCTCTTTCACTCTTACATCGTTTATCATCGTTTAACTCTTTCTTTCTCCTCTCTAATCTTTCAATTAGCCATTCCCGGCAACTAATCCAGATAATCGCGACTACCCTTGAAGATTCGTGACCAGTCAACCGGAAAATTTGACCCAGGAAAATACCATTAGAATGCAGTACATATTTTACTTACCTGTTTACGCCACTAACTTACATTTGCCACACTTTTCACTGTCATTTCATTTCAAGGTATTATTTACATTATGTGGAATAATCTTCCCTGTAGATTGAATAAAGTGTTAACTTCAAACTTCCTTGAATGCTAGCCGAATCAACACGCATATAGGAAAGACTACTTCCAACACAATTATATACCTACATGAATACGATATAGATACACGTCCTAACTTTATTTTCTACCCAAGAACACAGAAGAAGAAGAAGGCCGGAGCGTACAACGGCCGAAACGTTGTGAATATGGCAATGAAGATGAGGATAACAGTCCGAATAATGTAAATAATACAAGTAAACATAATACCTCATCTCAGAGTTGTAGACACATATTGAAGAATAATTCTCATCATCTGAAGAAGGCCAGAGCGTATAAAGACCGAAACGTTGTGAATGTGTTAATGAAGATGGGGATAATAATACGAATAATGTAAATAATACAAGTAATCATAATACCGCATCTCAGAGATCCAAACTCCCTTGAAGAATGCCGTAGCGTACAACGGCCGAAACGTTGTGAATATGGCAATGGAGATGAGGATAACAGTTCGAATAATGCAAATAATGCAAGTAATTTGAATACCGCATCTCAGAGCTATAGACATATATTGAAGAATAATTCTAATCATCTGAAGAAGGCCGGAGCGGACAAAGGCCGAAACATTGTAAATGTGGCAATGAATATAAAGATAACAGTACGAATAATGTAAATAATGTAAGTAGTCATAATACCTAATCTCAGAGTTATAGACAGATATATAGAGAGACATAGACATAAAGGCCGGAGAGGACAACGGCTGAAATGTTGTGAATATAGCAGTGAAGGTGAGGATAACAGTCCGAATAATGTAAATAATGTAAGTAATCATAATACCTCATCTCAGAGATATAGACAGATATCACCGATAGGAATGTTTGATGTTTGCTCGATCTTTGAACTTTTACGTCATTATTTCCTTCAGGCTATTTATTTTTCATTACGGAAAAATACACTGCGATGTGTCTAGTCACATTATTCATCAGAAAAGCCTGGTGATGGTACCCGTTTAATCACCAAAGACCCGGCACTGCAGGAGGTAGCAATCTGTTACATGCTAAGTAGAACTCAGAGTGACCCGACATAATATTCACTGATGTTCAAGACAAATCCTTTCACTGGTATTTGCCATTACCAATATCTATCACCATCCTGTGATTTTTACATGCGTATTCAATTCCCTACATTAACATATATATATATATATATACCTATCACCCAGTTTACTGTTATTAATAGGGAACATTTTCTTCAACTGATATATGGCCTGTTACCAAACACATTCAAATGGTATTTGCCTCCATCTCGTCTGTCATTCAACTGATATCTGCACCTATCAACAATTGCATACAACTGATATTTTCCTCTATTGGTAATCTCATTAAAATATTTGCCCCAATCGTCAATCTAATTCAACTGATATCTGCTACTATCACCAAACTCATTCAACTGATATTTGCCCCTATCGCCAATCTCATTCAAATATTTGCCTCCATCTCTCCTCTTATTCAACTGATATTTGCCCCTATCGCCATTCCCATTCAACTGATATTTGGCCCTATCGCCAATTACATTCAAGTATTTGCCTCCATCTCTTCTCTCATTCAACTGATATTTTCCCCTATCGCCAATCTCATTCAAGTATTTGACCCCGTCGTCAATCTTTTTCAACTATTAGCCTCAAGCTCAACTCTCATTCAACTGATATTTTCCCTGCATTGCCAACTGCATTCAACTATTTGTTAGCATAGCCAATCGCAATCACCTATTTGCCTCCATGTTTCCTCTCAGTCAACTGATATTTGACGCCATCACAACTCCCATTCAACTGATATTTGCTTCCAACTTCCCTCTCAGTTAACTGATATTTACCTCCTTCTCCCCTATGATTCGACTATTTTTTTACATCTTCTCCAATCCAACTGATAATTGCCTCCATCTTCTCTCCCCATCATCCTGTGTCTCTTTCTTAAATCATCTACAGACATTTAACTATATAAGTAGATATGAACAGACTGACATAGTGTTAGGTACCTATTCTATTGTAATGGACTCCCCCATAGATAATAAGTAAGGGTAGCAGTGGCAAGTCTGGCAGAATGGTGTTGAGCGCGTCAGTCGAGATTCGGACATTTGAAGTACCAACCATCACAACTAGATTGCTGCGCCATTGACTCTTATTTTCAAAGTTCCTAAGGTTTTGTACGTCGGACCTAATTTAGGACGACTTATTAGAAATACAAGCCTCCACTGTGAAAATACTCCACAACACACAGATAGATAGATAGGTAGATAGATAGATATGAACAGACTTAGATAGATAGATAGATAGATAGATAGATAGATATGAACAGACTGACATAGATATGAACAGAATTTGAGACATATATAGATAGATGTTAATTGAGCGATAGATATATAGATATGAAAACACTTAGATATATAGACAGACAGAAAAAAGAGTGATATGTATTATATAGATGTGAAAAGACTGAGATAGGTAGATATATATATAGATAGATACGAGAAGTCTGATACAGATAGATAGATAGATAGATAGATAGATAGATAGATAGATAGATAGATCAGAACAGAGTGAGATAGATAGATATACAGATAAGAACAAAGATAGATGATAGATAGATAGATAGATAGATAGATAGATAGATAGATAGATAGATATGAACAGACTGACATAGATATGAACAGAATTTGAGACATATATAGATAGATGTTAATTGAGCGATAGATATATAGATATGAAAACACTTAGATATATAGACAGACAGAAAAATAGAGTGATATGTAGTTATATAGATGTGAAAAAGACTGAGATAGGTAGATATATAGATAGATAGATACGAGAAAGACTGATACAGATAGATAGATAGATAGATAGATAGATAGATAGATAGATAGATCAGAACAGAGTGAGATAGATAGATATACAGATAAGAACAGACTGAGATAGATAGATAGATAGATAGATAGATAGATAGATAGAGAAAAGACTGACATAGATAGATGGATAGATAGATAGATAAAGAAAAGACTGACATAGATAGATAGATAGATAGATAGATAGATAGATAGATAGATAGATAGATAGATAGATAGATATGAACAGACTGACATAGATATGAACAGAATTTTAGACATATAGATAGATGTTAATTGAGCGATAGACAGATAGATAAATATGAAAACACTTAGATATATAGAGAGACAGAAAGATAGAGTGATATGTAGATATATAGATAAGAAAAAGACTGATATATATATATATATATATATATATATATATATATATATATATATAGATAGATAAGAACAGATAGATCAGAACAGAGTGAGATAGATAAGATACCGATAAGATGAGACCTAGATAGATAGATAGATAGATAGATAGATAGATAGATAGATAGATAGATAGATAAAGAAACGTCTGACATAGATAGATAGATAGATAGATAGATAGATAGATAGATAGATAGATACCAAGAGATGGGAGATAGACAAACAATCATAATCACATAAACAGGTATGTTGAAATGATATGACCTCATACCTGGCTAACGAAACATCCATTCATTTTCTTAATTTGTCTCCAAATCAGTTTACGAATAACTGGTCAATTTCACTCAACTCACTTTCACCAACATCCGATTAAAGAAATTACAGTTTCACACCCTTGGATCGCATCACACAAAAATGCTTAACATTCTCCTGATTAGGTTCAGTTTCTGGCTTACAGGAGTTGGGCTTAACCTGGTCATAATAAACGGATCAATTTCTGCTTTGAGCCGAGATGCGATGACTTCGACTCTATCTCTCGTGACCGAATTAAATCTGCGTTCGTTTCTTTCCCCACCACATTACTTTTATTTTGATTCGAATTGATATTAGCTGATAGCAAAGCAATGTCTTCTTGGTCAGAAAGATTTTCCATCCTTGCATCTACCCACAAACACACCCTAGATGAAGAAAAAATATCTGTCTATATTTCTGAGATGAGGTATTATGTACACTATTTACATTATTCGGACTATTGTCCTCATCTTTGTCGCCATATTTATTACAACGTTTCGGCCTTTCAGTATCTGTCTATATTTCTGAGATGAGGTATTATGTACATTATTTACATTATTCGGACTATTGTCCTCATCTTTGTCGCCATATTTATTACAACGTTTCGGCCTTTCAGTATCTGTCTATATTTCTGAGATGAGGTATTATGTACATTATTTACATTATTCGGACTATTGTCCTCATCTTTGTCGCCATATTTATTACAACGTTTCGGCCTTTCAGTATCTGTCTATATTTCTGAGATGAGGTATTATGTACACTATTTACATTATTCGGACTATTGTCTTCATCTTTGTCACCATATTTATTACAACGTTTCAGCCTTTCAGTATCTGTCTATATTTCTGAGATGAGGTATTATGTACACTATTTACATTATTCGGACTATTGTCCTCATCTTTGTCACCATATTTATTACAACGTTTTGACCTTTCAGTATCTGTCTATATTTCTGAGATGTGGTATTATGTACATTATTTACATTATTCGGACTATTGTCCTCATCTTTGTCGCCATATTTATTACAATGTTTCGGCCTTTCAGTATCTGTCTATATTTCTGAGATGAGGCATTATGTACACTATTTAAATTATTCGGACTATTGTCCTCATCTTTGTCGCCATATTTATTACAACGTTTCAGCCTTTCAGTATCTGTCTATATTTCTGAGATGAGGTATTATGTACACTATTTACATTATTCAGACTATTGTCCTCATCTTTGTCGCCATATTTATTACAACGTTTCGGCCTTTCAGTATCTGTCTATATTTCTGAGATGAGGTATTATGTACACTATTTACATTATTCGGACTATTGTCCTCATCTCTGTCGCAATATTTATTACAACGTTTCGGCTGTTGTACGCTCCGGCCTTCTTCAAGTGGATGGAATGTCGAACTTAACCCTTTATTTCGCTCACAGGGTTAGACTGTTCTAGTTCCTCGTGCCATGTTTAATGGATATCAGTTATCAGTTATCTCCTGTTATTTTCCCTCTGCAAGTTCTCCACTGCCTTAACCGGGTATTGAACTCACACTCTTTGGGTTCTGTCACTGGATCTAACCAAGGCCTTTATCCATGTAAATAAGAAAAAAATATGTATAAATACATACCGGGTGTAACAGCAAAATTGTCCAAATCGGGTTACAAAATGTTTGATATCTAAAGAAATAACACTAAACTAATAGTTTTTATTTATCCAGGTTTTCAGATAGGACGTTTAGCCATCTTGACACCATTTAATATTCGTAAGAATCAATTAAAAACCCTTTGATTTATTCATCTTGAAAGAGAACTGGTTAAAATCGTTTTGTGTCAAAACCACTGTCTTCCCAACTGAGCAATGGTGAGGGGGAAAAGATCATTCAGCTCGTCAGTAATATGTTCCAACATTCATATTCTGGCTTACATGTTCAAAATCCATGAAGAGAACGGTAAATAAGTTTTAAAAGAAGAGGGACCTGTAGAGAGAAAAATTGAATCAGCAGGTCACAACAGCAAGAGGGGATCATCATTTCAACTTAGAGCTAAAGAGATCAATTAGAAAAGATCCAACTCAATTCATGAGTCGTTTGGCACGTGAGAGAGGAGTTTCAGATATGACAGCCCAAAAAGCGGTGAAAAAGGACATGAAAATGAAATGGTACGTGAAACGTGGGAGGCATCTTGTTACTTCAGGACAGAAAATTAGAAGAGGGTCATAATAATCTTGAATATCTTGAAAATGATCCTGGAACATATATATATATATATATATATATATATATATATATATATATATATATATATATATATATATATATATAATATGCAATGTCAACCGTTATCTTCTGGTTTGGTTTGTTTTACGACATATCAAACTCAATGGTTTATTTAATGCCAACAAGATTTTTATTACTGGTAATATTGTTTTCAAATATATATATATATATATATATATATATATATATGTTACAACAAAATTGTATATATATATATATATATATATATATATATATATATATATATATATATATATACTTGTGAGAAACGTGTTAGTCTAGGACAGAAAGTTAGAGGGTTAGAGAGTGCAAAGATCATCTTGAATGATTTGGAAAATGACCCTGTAAGAATATATATATATATATATTCAATCTGCTTTTCTGAATCATCTTCAAGAAGCGAGAGCCAGATCTAAAAGGTCAGCCAATCTAACAGTGATCTCATCCCACAATCCTCACACTTGCTCCATATGTGGACTCCTTTGTAAATCACTAGCGGGTATTAAATGCCACTTAAGATTATCGCACAAACTTTCATAACTGAATCAATAAGCTGTCAGATCCTCATACGTCGAAACCTACTGGAGAGTCCATTATTATATATATATATATATATATATATATATATATATATATATATATATATGAACAGTCCATGAGCTTCTGATGCTTAATTAATAATGAACATAATATTTTCCTTAATGATCGATTTCATCAAGATTCTTCTGTTAAGCTTGGAGAGTAATTCTCCATTCTTGCCCAAAGTAGATTCTAAAGTGTTATAAAAAAAAAACTCAGAGAATTACAGTAGGATATCTTTAATCATTTCTAAGATACCGTGGCTCAAATCTTAATATAACACTTGGGCAATTTTGCTTTTACACGATTTGGAAAATTCTGCTGTTACACGATTTGGACAATTTTGCTGTGACATGATTTGGACAATTTTGCTTTTACACGATTTGGACAATTTTGCTGTGACATGATTTGGACAATTTTGCTTTTACACGATTTGGACAATTTTGCTGTTACACGATTTGGACAATTTTGCTGTTACACGATTTAGACAATTTTGCTGTTACACGATTTGTACAGTTTTGCTGTTACACAATTTGTACAATTTTGCTGTTACACGATTTAGACAATTTTGCTGTTACGGGTTTCAGACAATTTTGCTGTTACATGATTTATACAATTTTGCTGTTACACGAATTAGACAATTTTGCTGTTACACGATTTGGACAATTTTGCTGTTAGACACGTTACATGTTTCTTTTTCTTTCAGTTCCTTTTATTTATTTTCGTGTATTTTTTTTGTGTGTGTGTGCCTGTTCGTGCGCACACAGACGTTCTACTTACCTATCGATGTCTTGATCGTCTAATCTTCTACGGTCTACCTATGTCTGAAACCGGATGTGCGTGCATCGTGGCGGGGCGGGAAACGGACTATCGTGCCGGGTTCAGATTTCAGCTGCTGGGTAAAAATATATGAATTCCGCCCACACCACCCACGCTTAACAGGCGGGCAGATCGCTAACTTTAGTGGGCACATCATCTAGTAGATAGAAAATTAGAAAATTTCTAACTGGTTGGGGGTCAGGATCGAACCGTTCTTCTCAGCGTAGGAGGATAATTTGATTTTTTTTAGTAGGGCAATTCGAGAATGATTTATTAACAATGAATTTTTCTTTGTGACTCTGGCCAACGAAAGAATGTTAGTCTAGTGTGAATGCGAGTAAATACACACGGTTCATATACAGTATGCGTACATAAAACTATCTGTGCGTATGTATGCACAGGTGTAATTTATATATATATATATATATATATATATATATATATATATATATATATATGAAAAATATAGTTTTAAGATGTGCTATATTTATGGGATAAAGTGCTCAATATAGAGCGTATGTAAATATAAATATAAAAGTGAACATTGAAGTCAACACTCAAAGGCGACAGGCTGTTTTCATGCTAGACTCAATCCTCAGGCTGCCTGACGATTGCGTCTAGAATGAAACAGCCTGTCGCCTCTGAGTGTTGATTTCAATATTCTCTTTATATATATATATATATATATATATATATATATATATATATGATAATTATGTTTAAATAACAATCCCTTTTTTATACAAGTTACGTAAAAGACGATTGGCAAGAAATTCCGATTAAGCCTTTTATTTAATTTTTCTTGCGTTCGTACAAGTGTTTTCCTTTCTGGACGTAAAATGTGTAAAAAGTCCCCAAAAGATTTGCATATCTGAGAATTTTCGCTTATTCTTTTACTCATTATGAAAGATGATTTTATTTTTGACTGAATGTCTTTTTTTTTATATATATATATCTCAAGTTATAGGAATGTTTTCTTTTCAAAACACGGTCAGCACGTTGTGAACATGTACATAGTTAATATGTTTTCTTAATATATATTTTCTTTATTCTGTCGGAATTATATCCATTTATATTTGCTTATCATATATATATATATACAAATATATATGTTGGTGTGTGTGTGTGTATTTAGGCAGCAATCCTTCTTTCATGCACATTTCATTGAATACGACAGACAAGGTGCTTTTATTTAATTTATTTATACAATTTGTCATGCGATCTAATCATTTTTTTTCTTTTCGGATGATAAATTATATAAAAACTGTCCGAATGTTC